TTTGATATTCGCTTCTGTTTAAGTAACCAACAAGCCATTCAAATAAGTAATAAGCAGTGCTTCCACGTACATATTTACTCTCCTTGCAATTTATTATTGACTTTCTCTTATGTACTACTACGTGCTACAGCCTTCGGCTGCCTTGGCATTATTGTCCAAGTTAACTACACTTTCTACTTACATATTTACTCAACATAACTTTCTACTAACTGACTTTCCTGCATTTCCGCATTACAACCGGACATGCAGCAATATCCTGAAATGTTTTCGCACGAATAAGCTTGTAGCTATGGTAGGTACATACATACATATGTAGATAGGTAGGTAAGTAAGTAAGTAAGTCGTTATGGTATGGCTGCACCTAGTCGCACTTACTTACACGAATCCATCATTCATTGTTGTCGAGCAAAATGTTGGTAAAATATATGCGCAATTTTATTTCAACGACAAATGAATATGAATTTGATTGTGATTGTGATTGCGATTGTGATTGCAAGCCAACAATGGTCAACTACTACACACAAAGGTACATACATACATTTGCATACAAGTATGAGTGCATTTACACTAGAAAAAGTTTCATGGACATGCAAATGCAGCGCTTACGAACACAAACATACATACAAAAAGGCGGCTTAAGCAAATATACTTGTTTGCATGTAAGTACATACATACATACATACATACATACATATGTATGTATTTATGTGTGCGAATTGTGATTTGTAAACGTATTCGTACTTGAAAGTGAAATGAAGCTGAAAATGATTTTCCATTCGAAATGCATTTGAAAGCGCACTCTAGTCGCACAGTGCACTCAACCGCACAAGCACTCGCATATGCTCTGGCAATCGTACTTATAAAACATACATACATACATGCACTCCAATGAGCAGCCATCTAGGTATGTATGTACTACCAAAAATCCAAATACGTGCTGGCCCACTTCGATATTTGTTTTTTTTTTTTGTTTGTGCTTTAATCTTTGGGTGGGCGGAAATTTCTCATGAAAAATGTTTCAGTCACAAATACCCACTTCATCTGCTTTTACGAGTATTCCTGCCAACAGGCATATATGTACGTATGTATGTATGTATATATGTATGTATATACATTCATTCGCTGCATGCGTGCACCATTTGGCTTTTGTAGTCTCCATCAGGCGTCGACTTATTGAGTTTTACTCTGTTGGTGCATAAGTTGCATGTAGCAAGCGGCAAAAATCGTATGTTGCATGCATGCCAAATTTTGTGCAAAGCAGATTTCAATTGCAGAAATATAAAAGGCGCTTACACTGGAGTATTTTGGTAGTCAATATATATGTATGTACATATACATATAACTCGATATATGTATGTATGTACGCATGTATGCATTTATGCATGTTTTTCTTTTTCTGGAAAGCAGCATTCGTTATTTGCATGCATGCCGCTTACGGGAAATTGTGGGAAATATTGTAAGGTGATTGGAAAAATTTGTCAGTGACTTTTGGCTGTGTTGATGCAACAAGCTGCAGCGAAATTTGTATTTCGATTCGCAAAAGCTTTTAAGAGTTTTAAGTTACTTCTTCGATGTTTGTTTTTTTTTTTACTTTGGAAAACGTGCAACTGTAACATATTTCGAGCTTAACATTTATTCATAAAAAAATAAGAAAAATTTTATTCTGGTAATTTTTTGAAGTCCGCTTAAAATATTTCGATCAATAACCCTGAGTATCCGTAGTGATGGGCCTTAAATTATGAAATTATCAAATTTTCTCTTAGGGAGTTCTCATAGCGTAATGGATTCTGAGAAAAGCTTCATATTCTTTGCAATCGCGAAAGGTATTAGTAAACCATACATATACTACATACGTACATAAGTATATGTCGGTATGCAAGCCACCATCCCACAGTGGTTCAAAATTGGCATTTTGTGTTAACAAATCACTGGAGCCTTAATTTTTTACTCAATTTCATTATTTTTTGATTTTTTGAATTTTTTTTGTGTATTAAATTTTTTGTGAAAAGTGCAAAAAAAGTAGCAATTTTGAAAAAATGGATTCTCCCGTTCCTACTAATAAATGTTACATAATAAAAACTAGTTGGAAACATTTGTTGGGTTCCTCCAAAACGAGAAAAAAAATTTAAAAAAAAAATTTGAAAGGTTTAAAAAAAATTTCATGAAAATTTGCTTTTTTTTTATTCCCTAGAAAAAGTTTTGAGTATGCAGTTTTACATTTAGATCATGAAATTTTGAAATTTCGCTTTCGTTCGATTTTTTTTTTCTAAATATATAGATATAATCTTATTACATTAAACGAGCAATTCTTGTATATGTACATATATATAAATTAGCCTAGCCATTTTTGTAACATGAACTAAGGTTTTGTTTCATTGAATTGAGAGTGTCGATTGTTTTAACGCAACTGTTGTAGAGTGGTACGATTCAGGACCAGATTATCTGCAGAAAGCAGTAAGCGTTCGAAATGTTACGGGGACTTATTAGCTATTTACATAAATATGTACACTGCGGATTTTTGATTTTTATGCAGAGTTACATGTGTCGTGCGGTGTTGTCATGTATCATAAGTGTATATTATTTCTGAATATTTTCTATATAGAAACAAAACAAAATCAACTTCAGTACGATTTGCTTCGATCAACTTTAACCAACTTTTGGGTCCATCAATTATTTCCGGAGATGTTCCAAATTTTTCAAGTACTTTGTTTACGTAAAATAGAAACTTTTTCAGCCCGACGCTCATCGATGCTACCATCTTTAAAAATTTTCTAGTATATTGTGGCCACTCTAGTATATACATATATACATATCCATAGGGTTCTCGGAAACGGCTCTAACGATTTTGATGAAAATTTGTACACGGATAATGTTTTAGATTTTAAGATTATATGAATAGGCATTATCTCCGAGAAGACTCGTATAAGGTTGCCACCTATCCGAAATAAGTTACGAATTAATTAAAACATCATAATATGGGCACCAAATGGAAGGTATTTTAAAGATACCTAATTCAAAAATATTTTAATAGGGTTGCCACCTATTTTGAATCGCATATTTATTTAATTTTGTTTATTTTTGAAAAAAGGTAAATATTACTATTCATGGGTACCAAGAGAAGGTTCTTAAACAATGCTTTCCCTATATGCAAAATTGTATCCCTTATTATAATAGTGTAAGGTTGCCACTTATTTTCGATTCTACGCAATTTATCTAAAAATTCGCAATATGGATATCAAATGAAAGGTGTTGCTCAGAACTTTTGTAAAAAAATATTTTCCATCAGGGTTGCCACGCTTCTATGTAATAAAAATTTTTATTTTGTTAATTTCAATCAGCATTTTTTTATGTATACACAGTACATATACGCTCAAGATATGTACCACTCATTTTAGCGTATTTTGGAATAGGGTTACCACCTAAATTTTGGAGTAAGAAATTTACTTAATAGGTATCGAAATCCATTTTTCTTCCAAAATATTTTTTTAAAGCTATCCAAATCTTGAAAATTTTAAAAAGTATATGCACTCCGGGCAAAGCTCGGTCAACCTGGTACTGAGAACATAAACTACACAACACGCAGATGTGCTCGAAAAATTAGCGAAAAATATATAAACAATCACCGCGAGCTCCTTGCTACTTGCAATTTATTATACTAAAATTTCATGGTCTATAAAACAGCATACCTATACTTTTTCTAAAAACTTAAAAAAAATTAATTTTGGTGCACTTTTCCTTAAACATTTGATTTTTTTTCGGATCTACAAAATCGCATATTAGAAATTTTTTAAAAACTCAAAACAAAAAATTTTAATTTTGGCGAATTTTTTTTTATACCATTTAAAATATTTCTTGTGACTTTTTTTGTTTAGGGCGAACCCTAAAATTGTTTTCAACTAGTTTTTACTATGTAAAATTTAATTACTGGAACAGGAGAATAGATTTTCCTCAAAATAGCGACTTTTTCCACACTTTGTACTAAAAAATGTAATTAAAATATTAGGGAGTTAGATTTCCCCGTATATAGACGAAAGAAGCTGCAGAAATCAGAAGACCATTTTAGATCATTTTCTTTAGGCTCTGTCAAAGGCGACTACAAAATCATTTTCGGTTTTCGCATGGTCAATGTGAAAATCTTTCAAGGTGACAAGTCTCCATATGATTGCGATACTGAAGAGGTTGAAGACGCGAGCCAGTTTCTGAGAAGATGAAAATCCAATTGTATGTAAAATTGGTATATCGCAAAGAATGAAAAGGATTCGAAACAATAGTTTCCCAGAAAATAATTTTTTTCACAATTAGTCCGGTCAAAGTATGTAGACGACGACATGGTACGCTATACCAAAAGTATGTTCAAAATTTCTAATTCCGGTTTTACTATGAAGAGGGACTTTTTTATGACTTTTTTCGCTATTTTAATTTTATTTCGTTACCTTACTTTATTTTAGTTGACTTTAGTCTTTATTTATCTTATTTGACTGTATTTTAATTGTATTGTGCTCTATAAGGTTTTATTTCTTTTTTGTTATATTTAAATTTTATTTTTATTCTATTTACTTTTTATTGTTAATTTTATATTTTATTTTAATTTATTTTATTGGATTAAATTTTTATATTACATATTTTATAACAATTTATTTCATTTTGATTTAATTTTATTATATTTTATTTATTTATTTTTTTAATTTTATATATTTAATTAAGTTCAATTTATTCTTTTTAATTTATTCTATTTTGTTTAATTTATTCCTATTTAATTTTTTTTCAATTTATTATAATTTTTAAAATTTTAATTATTATTATTTTTTAAATTGTATTTTTTTAACGTTTAACTTATTTCAGTTAAATTTGATTTTGTTTTATTTGAGTTAAATTTAATTTACTTATTTTTTATTGTATTTTATTTTATTTCACTTTATTTTATTCTATGTAATTTATTACAAAATAATTCTATTTTATTAATTTCATTTAAATAAATAAACATTTCTTCATTCACTTACCCGATACAAATGAAATCTCCGACAGCATAATCCATTTCACGGCAAAATATAAATTGATTTTCAAATATCTACCAACGCGATGATGCAATTTAATGGTGACATCTCGCGCGTGATCCATTATGGTGTCTGGCATGTATGAAAATTGCACCGGTTCACCGGAGAAATGTCGTCCACCAATACTGAAGAAGACTTTGGCGCGCACGAATACCTTTTTGTTCAAATTAAAAGAGAAATAAAAAAGGTATTAAATTTAATAAAAAGTATGTACTTTTTCATAATTTAAACATAAGAAGGATAGAATTAACTTTTTTGCCAATCAGAGAAGTGTGTTGGCTTGAGGAGTTCAAGTCAAGTGTTTCGCAAATACTTCTCGAACTTATATATTTTTTATTTTTTTGCTTTTTAAAACATATAAAGGCACACGACTCACCTGCACATCTTTGGTGAACATATTATTCGTGTGCAAAATAATTGCACTAAAATTTCGCACTGTATCGAATTCGAAAATAATTTCAACCGGTTTGCCACTCAAATCGGGTGTATCATTACGCCAGCCAATCCATTCATAACCTGGAAATATAAAACGCAGATATTTGTAAACTACGAACATACATTTTCAATAGTTGCACTCTAAACTGATTCAGTTTATTGCCTTAATTAGTTCTATTTACACCTCAGCTGGTGGTTGTAAACTTTCGGTAGTGAAGGCTTCATTGTAAAGCATATTTTTCAATGCTTTTTGGAAAATTATTTCCTTTTAAAAACTTACGTTTATAAATTTAACTATTTCTAAAAAAAAAAAATAGACGAAATTAAAAATCAAACTTTTGTGCTCCCTGCTAGTGTGCGCCGCTGCGTATACGCAACATCATTAAACAATTTTGCACATTAATACATTTCATTTCCTTTAGCTTTTTAAGCATTTTGTCGAAACTGTCGCTTGTAAAACTATGTAGGACGGCTTTATTTTTCTACTACCTAGTACTTCCCTTCTTGCATAAAAATTCGTTGACCTCGAAGTGATTTCACCATGGAAACTCGTTTTTTTTTTATTTACTTTATTGTATGTAAAACGAAAGGAGTTCAAAAATATTCCACATTAAATGACAACGCACACCCACCCCACCCGCTTGCGGCAATGACTTTCAATGAATTCATAAATTCCAGCACATGTTAAATATTATGGTAAGAAATGCCACTGCCATTGCAACCCCGCTCCTCCCTACCCGGCGCTCTGCAATCACTTAGCACACCTGTGTTACGCATCGTTGCTTGCTTGCTCATTAGACGCATCGTAAAATTCAAAACAAAAACAAATAAACGATAAAGTACACAGAACAAGCGAGGAGCGAAGGCAAAGTGCTGTAGAGTACATATTTAGCTAAAAATAATTTGCTTTTCTCCCTGCACGGCCCCCTCTCCACCAGCGCAAAACAACTGGAGCAAACAAAGTCAGTAACAAACTGTCAAACGACAATAAATGAAGTTTTTTTTTGGAAGTCAAGCTGGGGTGGTAAATTACACACACACACACCTAAAGCGCAAGAGGAGGCAAGAAAGGCTGTAACTAAACGAGTGCGTCACGACATTTAAACCTTTTACTTTTCCCTGCAAAAAATTGTGCGACTAATCTCTAAAGAGAGTATTCCGAGATTACTCTCAATCGGGTACAATTGGGCTTTAATTAGTCGCAACTAGTCTCATACGGGTACTAATGGAGGTCAATTAGTCTCGACTCATGCCTTATGGGTATAATTGGAGATCAATTAGTCCCCAACTCATCTCTCACGGGTACTATTAATGATTTAATGATATGTACGCACTTAGTCAATGAAATTTCATGTGCGGCGTTGGCACACAGAGAGACTATCCGCCTAACAAAACTGAGCACCCCAGTTCGAATCTCAGCTGGCGCAAATTTTTATTTTTATTTTTTAAAAGTGACTAGTCGCTTTTTATACCCATTCGGGTATAAAGGTGAACAATTAGTCTCTTCATAGGACATGCTCGAACAAAAGCGAACAGTTCATTCCATATAAAGAGATCAAAAGTGGTATTAGTCGCATGCTCCTTTGCGATTGCTCCCGGAGTCATCTCGGATTAGTCCAATTTTTTGCAGGGTTACGAAGCGCGTACCACCCAATTGCTAAGTATTGTATGTATATGTGTGTATGTTGCATATAGTTAGGCGCACAAATTTTTGTACGACGACAGTGTAAAACTGTAGTGAGACTTTACTTAAATTATTTGCAGACAAAGTAGGTAACTCATTTGCTTTCCTAACAAAGCAAGCTTACCATAGACAAAAGGGAAGGAGGAATATTTTTGGAAAGAGAAAATAATAACAAAAAGTAATGTAAATAACTACGTTGCATACTTATACATGTCAAGGCATAATAATAACGAGCCCACAACCCCTGCATTCACGAAAAGTAAACATGACGACGAAACGAAGCTGAAAATATTGTAGCAAAATGATGAAGAAATATGAAAATGCATAGTAGTATATAGTGGCTTTATTGTAGAGGAATGTCATTGTGTACAAAAGTCATGCAATACTGACTTGCAAACAAACACGAGGGGGCGGCAAAAAATACGCGCCCCAAAATCAGCACACCCTCAAACTCCTGCAAGCATAGCTAACTAAATTGCTCGGATCGGCTACTTGCATGAAACAATAACAACTCGCTGGCTGTCGCATGGAAGAAACCCAAAATGTAAGTAGGAAATATTTTATATACCAACCGCCCACTCCAAAAAATCAACAGTCGATGCGTACTTGCAGCAAAGTCACAAAACTTTCTTTTTTTTTTGGGAAACTAAACTGACAAATTCTGCTTGCTGGCAAACAAAAATAAACAAAAAAATGCTCGTGGCACTACAACAATAATATCTCGCTGCTCGAAATACGAAACGAATTCAAATAATTGACAGACGCGTCTTGACGCGCCAAATAAAAGTACATAAACAAAGCGAAAAGAAACAACAAAAATATGTATGTATGTACCTAACTAATAACGTCTCGACTTATTGAAAATCAATAGAGAAGTAAGGTATTGAGCGATATCTTCATAACTGATTGCCGCATGCCACAGGATGTGTGTGTTCCATGCGGCTTTGTACAGCCCCTCTTATCGGAGTTTCTTTTGTACGAAATTTGTCACCGACAGCCGCCGCATAGTTGAATTGGCATTTAGCTTTCCGGTAGACATAATAACAAGTTCGTATTGATTGTTGTCGCATAAAACTGGACAAATCATGCGCGCAAACTTGTGAGACGGGGGGGTTGAAAGAATATTTGCTTTCTGAAGATTCTTTGATTCATTGTACGCGATTAAGGCGGAATGTGGTTATCTATGTACTTTAACTGTTTACTGAGTTGATTTTATTTGATGTGTTAATTTTAAACTTACTTGCAGGTTTAAAAAAATATTGGAATTAACTTATGAATTGCAATTAAGACAACCAAATGTACAAAGTTTTATTTTTTTTACTTTTTTTTAAATTTCCCAAAAAAGGGAAATTTTTGAAATAGCTGCAAACTGTTTAGAAGTTCAAGAAATGATAAAAGCTCTTTCTTAAAATCGTTTACAATCAAAAATAAAAATTTCCCACAAAAGGATTTTTTTTTAATATGCGCAATTTTAGTTTGCTTGAATGGGCATCACGCTCTTTCAAAAGGTAATGAAAGGAGGGTTTTTTCTAATTTTCAGTATATTAAAAATTTCTTGTAATTTTATGTTGTATTTTACTTTGGGGAATTTAATTTAAGAAATTTATTTATATTTTGGCTACACAATTTTCCTGAAGCTTGCTAGTTACAGATATGCTTCAATATAACATTATAACATTTACTGTCTTAGAAAATCTGAAAGCTTGTTTTTATTGAAATGCTTGCCCTTTGAGTCACAAAGAAAGAATATTTGTAGTTTTTAACATATACATTTTCCACTCGCCTAATAAGGGGATACACCCTTGGTCAGCTGATTAAGCTAAGTGACATTTTGACCACTTTTGGCTATCTTTCTTTTGTTTGTTTAATGTTTATAATTTTTTTTATAAAAGTCCAGCACAATACATAACCAGCGCCACATAAATCTACATTTCGAACTTCGTAAAAAAATTATAAAAATTTAACAAAATTTAACCATTACACCCAAAAATTGTAAACCTTTTATGCATAATTTTTAGAAATACATTAGCTATGCAGTTCTCTAGCCCAGTAAATTTTCGGGCAAATTTCCAGACGACAGATAATGGCGTCGATTTTTAATAATATTTTATGCTGACGCTGCTAGGCGTTTTCTTCCATATAAAAGTACCGATTTGTCACTAAAATCAACGCGATTTCCTAGCGTCTCGAAATTAACAAAATCCCGTCTCTGGTTAAGAAGAAAGAGAATACCAAGAACATTATCCACACATATTTTGGACAAGTCTTGTACTAAGATTTTGTCCTCCTATTTTACTCCATCAGATACTTTCTTCACAATTTTTTCTAGTTTTCACATATTTTAATAACTTACAACTTAATCTTGTTTATGAATGCGAATTAAACATTTCCTAAAAGGGAAATTTTTTTAACTTAGTTGATTTCATAATGAAACACTTAATGTTCCTTTTGCAAAAGTTTCCTTTTAGTTTCTTCATAATTTTTTCTAGTTTTCACAAATTTCCTAAAAGGGAATTTTTTTCTAAAGTCTAAAAATACAACAAAACAAAACATATTTTAATACCTTAAAATTTAATCTTGTTTATGAATGCGAGTTAAAAATTCCCTAAAAGGGAAGTTAAAGTGTCATTTAGATGTACTTTAAACAAGAAGTGTTTTTAATTGAATAATAACAAAAGGTTAATTTAAATGGAAATATAGTTGGCAATGCTGATCTTGGCAAAATTGCACAAATATGTAATTATAACTACGAAAATGACATACCTATTTTTTTTCTTACAAACGGGACCTTTGTCACTTAAATTTTCATTTTGGGTATTTAACCAAAGGGCACCTTTATATTCAAAGTAGCTTTATGACATCGATCAGCAAAATAAAGCATACTTTAAATTTTAAAATATTCTTTAATTTTATTATGAAATCGGCCCGTATATAAATTTCGTTTTGAATTAGACGTATCAGTACCTTTTATGAAAATTTGTCTATTTTTCAAAAGGAAATTCACTTCAAATTCTTTTTCTTCTTAAATGCTATTTTCAAAAATTCCTAGTATCTCACCGATCCCTATTATTAATGTAAACATATCTATTTGCATTATAGTTATGCAGGAAATCAGTGAAGTTTATTTAAGCAGACAACTGACTTCACCACTCCTACGATTATTTTCTCTACAAAGCTGCGTTCCGTTCTCCTAACCGATGCCAGCCTGCAAAATCGGCGCAGCAATCAAATGAGCACAGTTTATGAGTTTGCTCGACTGCCTGTAGATACTAAGTATGTATGCGTGTGTAGTCCGACAGCCGTCGTCTCAATTTGTACACACAGCTGTAAGCAAAGTAGTATTATTGCCTGTCTGTCTGCTTGCGCGTAAGTCTGCACGGTAAACTAACAGCCGCTGTCGCACATTCCGCCATTATTATTGGCAATAAGGAATGAAGTTGTTGGAGCCAACGACCAGAACGACGATGGCTATGAATGTGTTTGCTATGTGTTTATTTTAATACATATGTACATACTTATGTATGTATGTATAAGTTACAGCGTACAGTGCAAAATGACCGCCCACCTCCTTTAGCTACTACAGTAATGAGAAACTTTTCTACTTAAAATGTAAAGTTTTCAATAATTTCGATTATTGGCGACTGGCCAACGAATTTTATTCATTTGTATGTCTGTATTTGCAAATGTACTATGTACGCGTATATGTATGCTTGTAGGATTGAACAGTAGGTATTTCGAAATAGTTGAAGTTTTAAACGACCAAGAATTTCAGCTTTTTATGCGGCTTTGGCGACGGCTGACTCTCCGCTTGTGCGCATTTGTTTGTTGTCTGAAGGCAAACGGAAGCCAAACAACGCACCGACTGCCGGAATGGTGTTGCAAAAAACATGGTGTGGGGAGACCGGATACACGCATTGGCGGAAGAGTCAAACTTTTGGCGCGCAGCAAGCCATTGGAGTGATGGGGTGTGCAGTTGGTGGGAGTGAGATAGATAGAGTGAGTGTGTGTGTGTGGCATGGTAGTTTATTTAACGTTTTATTGGTGTTTTTGTAAGGTTATGGCTTGCTGTTTGCTTTTTGTTGTTGTTTGACTGCAATTGAATGCCAGTGTTGCCATAAATTATCAAATATGCATCGTACATGTGTACATATTTACAATTGCCATGTCGTATTAATTTTTTACTGCTTCTTCATTTCTGTAAACTTCTAGCAAAACAAATACTTGCATAAGTTTCACTAGCTTTCAAATTTCCCTTGGCTCGTATTTATTATGCTTACAGCTGCTTAAAAAATATATATATTTTTATTTATTTTGTTCATTGATGAGGAAATTATTTATTTGTTTGGCGAAAGTTTTTAATTTGGTATCCACCCCTTTCACTCTCTAGCGCTCTCGACTCGTCTCACGCCACACGCTATGAATTAGCAAAGGACACAAATTTTCCAAACAAAGTTTATCGTAGCTGCTTCACTTAACTGAGTTCACTTCTCTAGTGGCTCATACGTTTCGATTTAATGCCTTCTAAATATTATAAACAAAACAAATGGCAGTCAATGGCGGGTTAACTGCCACAGCTATACATCATTTCCGGCATTTCTCTATTATAAAGTGCCTAGTATGAGGCTGGATGTGTGCAATTTTATTTTTGTAGACCCCTCGATATACACACAGCCATACATACTCGTAAATACAAATTTGACAAAGGAAGCGAAGAATTGCAAATGGACACGAAAAAGTTCCATTAAACTTATGGTAAACTTTTGTAATTATTTGATACTAATCAGTTTTAATGAAGTACATAAATGTGTATGTACCTATGTATATATGTGTACGTGTAAATATAAGATTATTTTATGATTGTGTATATACGAGCTTTAGGTCCTTCTTCCGTCTACCGTCTGCCACCATTGATTTGCATTCAACTGCTTTTGGCTAAACGAAATATCATTTTAATTTTCTGCAACCTTCAGAGTTTCTTATATGGCAAACACTCAAACATACAAACACGCATACATACATATACACAAAGAAATTCACAAACTTTGTACGCAAAAGTGAAATGTGCGCGTTGTGTTGGCAGAATTTATACATACATATGTATATGTAGTACATAAATATAAATCTTTTAAGAAATACTGTGCATCAGCAGTTTTTTTTTCTTCTTATTGCCACCATTTATAATACTCGTCTAGTAGTTGCTTATTTGGCATTTGTGCGATTTGATTTGCTGGTGTTGCTTTCATTACATTTGGGTTAAGGTAAGCAGTTTTCATCAAACTTTGTTCAATTTCATTTATACTCTAGCCAAGTATTTCAGCTTTTATGCACTTGAATTAAGTTAATTTGAATTTTGAGTGAAGGTTGTCGGGATGCAGAAAAGTTTTCGACATAGATGGAACTACCAAGAAAGTGAGATTGCGTTCAATTCAAGGTAAAAAGCAAGTTCTTAAGTAAATTCTTAATACTGGGCATGTTTGTGTGTACGAATATGCTTTATTGCTTGCTAAGTTTGTAGCTAGCGAGTTCCAAAGCAATTTATTTACATTTGGCGTGCTTTTACTTTAATCAGGTTAAATTTTAGGGAAACAGTGCATATATTTATATGGCAACAAAAGGTTATTAAAAACTAAAAATTTCCCAAAAGGAGGAAATTTTTAAAGTGACTTACACTAACTATAGTGTAGTGGTTCATAGCAAATACTAACGTTTTAAACAAAAAACATCCGAAAGCGAGAACAAAAAAATTTCCCATTAAACAATATTTCCAAAAAAATAACGATTTATTGTAAAAGGAAAGCTGAATTTTTAAATCTTGATTAAAAAATTAACAAACGAAGAAAAAATAAAAATTTCCAAGAAAGGGAAATTTTTAAAAGTGACTTGTTATTAATAAAATTTTGCGTTTTTTAACGGCTATTAACATTTTAAACCGAACAATACCCGAAAGTGAGCGGTAAAAACCTTCCCAAAAAGGAATTCTTCCAAAATTTTTTCATTGTATAAAGCAAACTGAATTCTTACATACGAGTATTTATTAAAAATTTGAATAAAACACAAGAAAACTAATAAAATAAAAATTACCTAAAAAGGGTAATTCTAATATGTATACTTATGTTACCATCAAAATCGAAATATTAAAGAATTCGGAATTCGTGGAAGCACAATACACAAAATATTCACGGATAAAAATCGATCGGCATTCATTCACTGCTGCCTCGCGTTAGCTCGCATTGGCTCAGCTCTATACTTGTATTATTGATTTGTTAGTTTCGGGTTTGAAATATTTTTTGCAATTAAATTTGTTGAGCACCCCTGTTCTAGAAAACACTCTTTAAATATTGCATATGTAAGGATCTTCCTTTAAATATTGCATATGTAAGGATCTTCTGCTCCGACTTCATGCCTTCAATTTGAATTGGATTTTGATGGAGGAAAAAACTTAGATGGCCAGCAGATTTCGGATTTTGCTAGTATGCAGTCTATTCTGGTCTGAAAGCGTTGGGTAAAAGAGAGAAAGCCTACTATGCGTTTAAAATTTTGCACTATACATATGTTTATACCCATGGCTTGGGGCCTTAGAGCAGACAACTACTACCACTACGAGCGCAGCCTTCTGAACTAATTTCATCGTATTACTTCATTTCATTCTACTGCTCCCCGCCCTATAGAATTATTACCGTTTTTGAAACTTCATATCAAACAAAACTTACTACCATTTTCTAATCCCAATTTACCCACTCACCTTTGCCATATCCATGTATGTCAGTACGAAAATTATCCTTGCCCTTTTGACCATCCACCAGCTGACCCAATCCATCAACATAACGATCACCTTGCTCATAACCATCATAAGTCTTGTCTGACAAATCCACTTCCATGCCACGTTGCACGCCTTTCGGTATGCTATATGATACGATACCCTCTGCAAGAGAAATGAAAAAAAATATATATATATTCAACACAAGCGAAAATACAGATTTACAGTTAAATTTAATACATGCGGGTGTTCAGATTTAAAAGAGAAAATTAACAAATAAATAGGTACATATGTATGTATATACAAACGTCAGTATAAGATATGGTGTGATATAAACTTAGGCGCATATGTAAACCACCCAACTAGCAATTGTCGAATAACCACAGTTTAGCCATAGTTTATAGTATTGCGTCTTTGGAGGTTTGGGCTAAGCGCGTAATACTATGGAGTAGACATTGAGACATGTGCTCAACACTCATATGTACATGTGTATGTATGTATGTATGTGCAAGTACAACTGACGCCTCGCTGACGAAGACAAACAACTGATTGTTATACTTCTAGGGAGGATAAAGTTTTCTTACTCTCTACTATGTTGGTATGTGCGTACATTAAGGAGAGAGTGTGAATGTGCGTCTTCTGTAGATATTTGCAGCTGGGGATGATTTTTCATAAACCGTATTAAATTACTTAAATTTCTGCGTATTTAAAATTGATAGTTTAGCGGGTATTTTTCGTTGGAACACTTTTATGGTTGCGCCACAAAACCGAAGTACTGATGCGGGTTGGCTTTGGGTGGGTGGGAGTGTATGTTTTTAAATGACTAAGGGATTTGTATGAAAGTAAAAACGAAGTATTATTTATGTAAAGGCAAAATGCCAAATCAATAGAGCTGTTTTTATATTATTTGTCGGGTTCAATAAGAAGCCTCAAAGATAAGTGAGCTAAAATTGTGCATGACGAAATAACACGGAGCCAGTTTTTCGACAGAAAATCATCTAAAAGCGACGAGTATTCAATAAGGATTTTTATGCTGTTTTCCTTTTTAGAGATACATATTTTTCTTAACTTAAAATATAACTCAGGTGTTTCAATTTTAATTTTTCAATCGAAAATAAACCAAAAAGTGCATGTAAGAATATTTCCCAAGATGGGAAATTTTTATTTATTAGTAAAAATACAAGATTATTAATTTAAAGTTTTTTCAACTTATTAATAGCTATTACTAAAGGTAATGCAAGAATTTCCCTACTTATGGATTTTTTTTAACCTAAAATATACCTAGTGTCTCAATTTTACTTTTTCAAGCAAAAAGTGCAAAAAAGACAATTTCCCAAAATGGGATTTTTTGTATTATTTTTTTAGATAACTTAAAAACACGGTATTATTGAACATAGGCTTTTGCAGGTTATTATTAATTATTACTAAAGCTTGCATACACATTTTCCTACCTAAAAAAACTTTTTTCGTAACTAAACATATTACTTAAGTTCTAAGTTTTACTTTTTTAGTCGAAGAGGCAATCAAAAGAGCAAGAAAGAAAATTTCCCAAAAAGGGAAATTTTTTTTTATTTTTTGGTAATGTAATTTAAAACACTATATACTTGCACAAAGGCTTTTTCAAGTTATTTGTAATTATTTCTTAAGCTTGCATCAAAATATGCGATTTTGGCGCATTTAAAACTTGAAAACGACATCTCAAGTAAATCATATTAAATTTTTTTTAAACAAAGTGATATTCGTACAAGTTTTCAAGTATTTAACTTTTATATTTAAGCCACAACATGAACTTTCATTTTGTTCATTTCCTTTGTGTAAGCTGCCGGAAAGCAGTGTACATACTATGTATGCTTTAACAAGGCGATATGCCGTGTCATGCAACACCCGCAAACAAACATTACCGCCATACACATATGTATGTATTACTATCCGAGAATTCCTTTGCGCTGACTATTTACATATTTTTTGGTGGTTGCCAGTCTTTTGTTGCACAAACAAAACATATAGCACGGCACGCATGTTGGTTGCAAAGGGTTAAATGGCGTTAAAGTATGAAGAAGCAGCAGTGCCAAAAATATCAACAACATACAATGAAATGCCACCAACAGCGTTAGCAGTCAAAAGACAATAACAGTAATATGACAACAACAGCAACAACCATAACTACGTTGCTGATGACAACCATACCGACAGGAACAACAAAATCCGCTCATTTGTTACGCTGCAGCAGGACAACAGTAATGACGACGACGACGGCTACGACGAATCATGGCAGGACAGACATGACGGTGGTAGCAGCCAAAGCGCCACCGCAGTAACAACCATAACAATTACTGAAGCAGCAACAACATTCAGTAAAACAACAGCGGTGGTATTACTTTAGTGACGCTAGTTGAGGCTCCAAAAACAAAGGAAAGCTTTGCAAAAAAAAAAAACACGAAAAAAAAGAAATGGTTTTAAAGGGAGCAGGAAAAATAATGCAGCCATTCTGCATGTTGACACGCAATAAAATCGCATGCTAACATGAAAATGACAGAGCGCGCGCGCTGAACGCAAAACATCGGCAACAACAATGGTGCAGCAATGTCAACCAGCCATAATAACTACAAGGCAACAACGTCTATCAAATGTAGACACGGTGTAAGCCCAAAGTCGAACGCATGTTTGCAACTATGTATATATTATTTACATATTTATAACGGGTGATTTTTTTGAGGTTAGGATTTTCATGCATTAGTATT